TAGATATAATGATTGCAAAATCTTTCATGTTTTCTGTAATAAAAGAAAAACAAAAAGAAAAAGAAAAAAAGAACTCCATTAGTTTGATGGGCAGTAGTTTAATACTTTAATTAATGGCCATTGAAAAGCCTGAAAAAACAAAAAAAAATGCAAATAGAAAATGGCATGAAAAAGTAATGGAGATGCGGGGGATCGAACCCCGTGCCTCTCGCATGCAAAGCGAGCGCTCTACCATTTGAGCTACATCCCCAGTTGCAAATTCAGAATAAGCAATTCAATAGTATCTAACAAATAACAATGAATCCCCCCTATATAGGAGTTTCATGTTGCAACTTTAATTCTAAAAGAACAATTTGTTTAAAGCCCTAGTTAGTTTATGATTATGCGTAATTTAGGACAACTGAAGTTTCAAAATAAGTTTTTATTTATTTTCTTAATTTTTTTTACCTATATTTCTTTTAAAATTAATGTGCTAATTTATCAGTAAGATAATTTTCTATATTTCAATTATCTATATTTCATTATGTGCATGAGACGAGATGGAACTGCTAGCTAAGGATATGTGGGGGGACTGCTACTAGACGGAACTGATCTTACGCTTCAATTCGACATAGCACAAGCATTGTCTCCTTTATAATATGGATTCCAGACATTTAGATCTGGAGTGTGATGTCTTATCCCTCCGTTTAATCACTTATATATAATTATCAAATGTGATGAGCTATGTGGCGGATTCGCAAACTTTGAGATCTTATGCGAAAAATTTTCATACTTTGTTGTTTGACTTGAATGGATTTTAACTTACTTTCAATCCAAAAATAACTAGGTTTGTAATATCCATAAATATAAAAGATATTTATGATTCTTTTTAAGCATTAGTTATGTTTTATATCATTTTATATTTTATACGTGGTTTATAAGTCATAAAAAATATGTAATATAATATGGTATGTCGTATAAGTGACGAGTGTCATTTTAAATAAAAATAATAATATTTTTTCAAAAAAATATTTAAAAAATATTTTTAAATATAAATTAACTACCAAAAACCCGTATAATATATGAGTATTGTACTATACAATATTGTATACCTTTTTTACACAATTTACACTCACCTTTGGTCATACTTTCTAAATGTCAAATTTTACAATATCTTATTGCAAATCTGATTACACGAATTAGTAATTACATAATCGCATTCGCATAGCATGCATAAAAAATTAATACAAAAATCACAGTAACGTGATCCCTATGTTTGACCATTTTGCTCCTCAATTTTCATTATTTATTAATTTACAATCTCATATTTTCCTATGGCAATATAAATTTTTTTTTAAAAAAAAAAATTGTTTTCAACTTAAAAGTTTGGCCCTAAAAGTTAGGAGAGGCTAGAGATAATAATAATAATAATAATAATAATAATAATAATAATAATAATAATAATAATAATAATAATATATCTAAAGAAATACAGAAATAGAAATATACATAAATATAATTCTCCTCAAATAAAAATGATATTAATTACAATAAATAAATAATAAAATCATCGAAAAATTGCTCCTCCCATATTTAGGTCCAATCTTTTCTCTGTTCTCCCCGTCATTGTACCATTTACTCGTAATGTTCATCCAACTTTCGATCGTCGCTGCCTGCTGACCACCGCTTCCGCCGCCGTGTCTCCGCCGCCACGACCTGGTGTGTTCGTGTATTTCCCCCATTTCCATTTCACCGTTTTGTTCGATTCGTCATCTTTACGCATCGCCGTTGGCTTGCATGCTCTGTTTCGATTATGCATCTTATTATTTACGAGGACATGATTTTGATTCCGTTTTGTTCCTTTTTTTTTCGGCAATGTGATAATTTAATTGCCGATTTTGCTCTGCTAGCTGTCATAGATCTGCGCCATTTTTTTTTTTCCTTTTTTT